CTATAAGAAAGACATTCACTGGAAAACTCCATCCAGTGATTTACCATATTTCCCATCCTTACCCCAATTCAATACACAGCTTCCAATTAGCTGAAAGAAAAGCAAGACTGTCAAAGGAATCACAGAATGTGACAACAAGAAAACGAGGAAATTCAGAGGATACAATGCAGATGAGAAGGCGAGTAATCATCAACAAGCTGCTTTCATTAGGAACTACAGATCCACACTGAATATTTTCTGCCTTCTCCTTTCCTTCCATTTGGTCTGTTGATAGTTTGTTTCTGACAAGATCCAGTCAGGAAGACAGAAGTCACACTAAGTTATCTCCAAAGAAATGACACTGAAAATTTGGTCAACAGTTGTTGGAGAACTAAAAGGGCTAAGAGAGAACCTGGTACCAGGGACCTAAGTAACTGCAGGAAGCACCAGGCCCTGAGGCTGGAGGAACAATGGGAGGAGGCGGTGTACTCGGAGCCTAGAAGCTTAGCGAGGCCTTGCAGAGGAGCTGGGGCTCAGCCACTGATGGGACTTCTGAGGGGCCTGATGAGGCCAGTTCCTAAAGTACCAAGAAAAAAAGCTAGCGCCTGGAACCAAGAGCCATTGTATCAGGTCAAGGGCCACTGCTGTGGTGGGGCTGCCAGAAGCCGGAAGGAAGCAGCGAGAGCAGGCCCCTGTCCTTCTTTAGACCCGCTGCCTCGCGTCTGGCTCCCCCATACAGGCAGAGCCTCTGGGGAACCAACGAGCAGAGAAGAAAGGTGGTGTGCAGCATCCTGGCAGCATACGCAGTGCAGGGAAGGGTCAGTGTGGGCTGAGAGACAACAGCTGAACCACACACACACCACGCCTTTAAAAAGAGAAACGCATCGCGTAGTTAGGTCTCTGATGCATATCTTAACTCACAGTAAACTAATCTGCCCCAAAATACTGCAAATAGGGCAAAGAAGTGACAGAGGAAACCAACATCAGGCTGAGTTCAGCCCCAGCCACGCTCACCAGGACCTTTCCACGTGCCTTAGGGGAGCGCTCTCTGAGATTGCTGTTAGCGTCCTAAACGTTCTTACCTATGAAAAATGGGCTCCTGCGAAGCCGTGTGCGGGCCTGCTTAAAACAATAAGCTTTTCTAACCCCCAAGTGCGACATACTCCGGGAGCATGGTCTGGATGCTTATCAAACAAGTTCCTGAGCCATTCTCTGAAGTTTCTGGGCAAGTACAAACAACAGAGTCAAATAAATGCCTTTTTAAAAGCGAGGCGGTGGAGCACGTACCCTGTCAGTGAGATCCTCACATCCCCACAAAGTAAACAGTAACATGAGAATATTTATACTAAACAAAACTGGATATCAAGCCTGCTTTGACTCAGCCAGAGGGAATGATAAATTCCTTGCAGATCTCTCATAGAGTGGTCCTTTGTGGTCCACGGACGCCACTTCCAAGACAGTACAAACCAATTACAGAGCAAGGCTTTTCATTATGTTGAGGAATGAAAATATCACCCCCCATTTTACTTTATTTTACAGTTCTGTTTCACTTAGCCAGCCCCTCCCCCTTATGTTAAAGACATTTTAACATCGTGGAGTCAAGCCCAAATTCAGGATGGAAATAAATGACATCCCCTCTCACCACCACCAACAAAAGCCCTTATCACCCTCATAGGCTAGCTTTTTGCTCTCCTTATCCCTCTTCTAACAAACTAAAAGTTGAAGTGGAAAGTGGGGTAGAGCAAAAACACTGAAGAGTTAATAAAACGTAAACTATTTGTCCACATCAATTCTGTCCCATTTACAACTGGCACAAGTCACGGGCAAAGTCATCTGGCAGGAGATGGAGGTTAAACAAGCTATGAAGCCACATGCCGTACAATGTCCACTTTAAGGTCCAATGGACAAGGTACTGCAGAACATTAGCACCAAGTGTTGGTCTGCTTGTAAGACAGCAATATGAGAAAAGGTTAATATGAATTAGCGTACTTGCTAGTTTGCATATTTGTAGTTTGGTCAGATTTTCTCAACCCAGTTTGATAATCCTTATCATCATAGATCAACCCAGCTGCTTCTGTCAGCTCACACATAGAAAGAACTGATGATGCCACGTCTGTCCCTAGGATAAATCTTCAGCAGCTTACAACTGCTTCAGATTTTCTGGAGAGACGTGGTGGAGCAAGAAAGAAAGGGAAGACAGAAAGACAATAGCAAAAACAGGGGAATTAAAATATGAACAAGAGGTAAGGAGTAACATTGTCCTGGTTTTGAAAATTATTTGTAACAAAAATAGTAAATTATTGTTTTAAATGGATAGCTGTGTCATAGGCCAAATTTAATCAACTCTATTTTAAACCAATGAACTAAGCCTCATATGTAGTACTTGAGATCATCATAACAGATGAAAAAGGGAAAAACAGGTCTTATATGCTTGTATACTTTAATGGATATTAGAAATTTGATAAAATTTTATTTAGGAAGTGTAGAGTTAGTGAAATTACCTTATTCAGATTTTTTTTGTTTTAAACTTTTATGAAATTAATATATACTTTTCAATAATTAATTGTGGTAAAATACACATAACATTTACCATTTTTAAGTGTGTAGTTCAGTGGCATTAAGTATTTTTATTACTGTACAATCATCACTACTATCCATCTCCAGAATTTTGCTTTTTTTTTGCCTTCAAGAACTGAAACTCTATACACCCATTAAATAGATATTTGGTTATAAATAAGCCTTGCTCAAAACCACCAGTCTGGAATACAGTGATATGAATCTGGAGAGGTTAAGAAGGGAAATGGCAAATGAATCAACTGCTACTACATCCCCAAACGACACAGTCACATCCTGTGTTTTTACTCTCAATCACCCGCTTAATGAAAGTGTTAGTCGCTCAGTCATTTCTGACTCTGTGCAACCCTATGGTGTGTGGCCCACCAGGTTCCTCTGTCCATGGAATTCTCCAGGCAGCAGTACTGGAGTGGGTAGCCATTCCCTTCTCTAAGGCATCTTCCCCACCCAGGGATCAGCCCTGGTCTCCTGCATTGTGGGTGGACTCTTTACCATCTGAGCCACCACGGAAGCCCCATGTACTCAACGCTGATGACCAGAAGTGAAGCAGAGCTCCAGGTGAGATCTGGAAGGAGTGCTAATATTTCATTTTCACATTACAGCTTACAAAGTACTTCCATTTAATTCCCCAGAACATGATCTGGGTGGAAACTCTTTTCCCTATTTTACAGGTAATTAAACTATAGCTCCATGAAAGATAACAAGGGCCAGAACCCAAGCCAGAATTGCTGTCCAGGGCTTGTCCTACTAGGCCACATGGCCTCTGCCAAAGCAAGAGAAAAGCAAGGTATGACTACTTCGAAGCTCTCCCAGATCCACTGGGTCTAACTGGAGAGCATCTGCTCTTTTCACCACAGCAGCTAAACTTCCTTGCATCTGAAAACCACACGTGGTTCATCATTACCCCATCTTTCTTGTATTTATATTGACAGCAATAAGAAAACACCCAAAAAGTATAATTCTGAAACAAAATTAATGCAGTGGCAGTCAAGAGTCAAATTAAGTCAAAAAAATATGTTAGGATACAGACTTCCCTGGTGGTCCAGTGGTTTTAGAATCTGCCCTCCAATGCAGGGGACGTGGTTTTGATCTCTAGTTGGGGGACTAAGCCCATGGGCTGCAACAGGAGAAGCCGACACGTTGCAACTAGAAGAAGCCTAGGCACCGTAACGAAGAGCCCCACACCGCAACGGAAGACCTGGCATGGCCAATACACAGACTGTATAGATGACCAGATCCTATGGGTGTCCCAGGCAGCTCAGTGATAAAGAATCTGCCTGCCAATGCAGGAGACACAAGAGACCTGGGTTTGATCCTTGGGTCAGGAAGATCCCCTACAGGAGGAAATGGCAACCCACTCCAGTATTATTGCCTCTAGAATCCCATGGACAGAGGTGCATGGTAGGCTAGAATCCATGGGGTCTCAAAGAATTGGACGCAACTGAGAATGCATGCATGCCCTGGATCCTATAAAAAGACTGAGTTCAACCTCTTTTATTTTTAATTACTTAAATTCACATTATGTGCTCCTATTAGCCAAAACCACAATTTATTTGCTAGACAAAATCTATGGAAAAATTTACTTCTTTGTGTTTTATGGACAGAAAAACACTTTGTACTAAAAAACATAAGCACTAAGGATTTACATAAAATTACCAGAATTAGCAAGTGGCTTCTTTTAGTTCACAAAGAGACAACATATTTTGATTTCTTTCAAATAAAATTCTTCCACCAATACCCTTCACTTCACTCAAGAGTAATAAATTCCCTAAACCTTCAGACTTCCATTTAAATTCCAAAAAGGATATATATAATCCCTTGAAGTCATGCCCAAACCACCATTCCACTTCCCCACATAAACATAAAAAAATTAGACAAATCTGGCTTTTGGAATTATCTCCAGAAGGAATAGTAGGTCATCCTAAACAAGACAAGAAAGAATAAAAGAATATGATTAGTCTTTTATTTGATAATTTTAGTTTATAATTCTCCCCATTTTTTAGTTACGTAGTACTTGATTTTTAAAAGTGCACATTAAAAAAAATGATGACTCAGAAAATGAGAGTTGGATACAGGACTCTGGAATAAAGAGCTGAGGAACACCAAACAAAGGGAGTCTGTTTTTAGTTGAGTTCACAATAATCAAAGATGATTCAGTAACAATGGCCATTTTGTCCAGCTCATTCGGGGGGCTTCTAGTACAGCCAAGTGCATGAACTTGATACAGAGGAAGATTTCACAAAGTATCAATGATGACTAGAAATATCATAAAGCAGTTACAACCTATAAACACCTGTTGCTGTCGTTGGACAGAGAATGCTTCTAGTCTTCCAGTTCACACCTGGAACCAAGCTCTTGGATCTTCTCCTTGTCTTCACAGGCCAATAAGAAAAGTTTGCAATGGCTGATATTTTTTTCTTACAATTTCAATGAAACCTTAGATTGGATCACATGAAAACACCTCCACGTATCTTCCAGAACTCCCCAATGCTTTCTTTGATTGCATACTCAGCACAGCTCTTGCACTCTTGGGGTGTAAATCCAATTAATGCTCTCCCTATTGTACCGATTCCTTGATCATTTGCCAATTTTTTAACTTGAGCTTCTATATAATGAGGAGATACATAATAAAAATGGTCCCCAAGGACACTGTAAGCCATGTATTGAGAGCCTTCAGAGGTTTCTGTAACTTCTTGATCTTCAAAGCTCTCTACGTTGCAAGCTATCTCAATTTTCCCTTCATGAGGAAAAGCCATCGTCTGGACGCCCTTCAGTCCATTCACGTTTGAGCCCCGAATGGCACTAGCAATTTCTTTTCCCAGAGCCAAGTCTTGAGAATCTATGGTAACATTGCAGTTCATCACGTACGGGCTAGCGCCGATGCCTAAATCATTAGAAAAGCATGTTAGTCAAGCAAAGTAAAAGCCTCATCTTGAAGATTCTAGTCTTTACCCAATTCTACTCTATTCTATTGACTTTACTTGATTTTATTTTAAAATAATACACAGAAATACTCCTCATTATTAACTCCAGAATTTTCTAAAGGTCATACATATTTTTTACCAACAGAGTTATTTGAGCTACAAGTAGATATTTTTATCTACTCTAAATGTATCTGGATGTTTACTCTAGAATGGTTAAGAAATATCAACAGATATTTCAAAAGGCACATTTGAAAATCAAATATCAATAGCAGTAAAATGTATTGGCCTTCCATTCATTTACAAGGCCATCTCCACAGGGGCTGGAATTCAGTGCCAGGTCTATGCGTCTGGGAGACAGAAATAAATCACACTCTGTACTCATCTTTTCCTCCCCAAACAGACCTGTCATCATTGAGCTAGGTTAAGATCAGATTCGAATGAACCTCAACAGTCTTGGCTAGTAAAGGAGGTCACTAAAAAGTGACAAACAGTCTCGGAATTGGGAAGGACAAAGAGACTCTTGTGTCTCATGATGACGTAGGTTTGGCAGGGCAGCATTTGGAGCGCTATGTATACCTTCTTGGTATAACCAGTTGGAGGCATCTCTTTCTTCCATCCTCAGCTTCCCAAGGGACTAGGACTGTCATTGCTATTCCAGAGCCCAGTTACTCTAGAGCATGTTTTACCCTGCTTTGGGGATGATGCAGCTCACATTACATAAATATCCCTGCTCTAATTATAGTTTACATTATAAGATGGACAACTTGGTTAAATTAGCATTGGTATAAAAAGCTTAGGTTTGCAGTTTCCTCATTTTGGGGCAACTTCACATTTCTAAAAGCAAAGTTGACTAGGGATTGATGAGGGATAAAAGGCTGACCTCATCTTCAGCATAAGACAATTCTTTAGCTACTATTTCAACATCATTTTACTGTCATTGCTTTTTCTTACTACTTTCAAACTTATTGCTCATGATGTCAGTATTCAACGAGAGATCCTGCTGAATTCACTCTCCCCTTGACAGCCGTGGTTTGGGGGCCTTGCTGCCTAGCCTGGGTACTCTCATACTAATAGATGCTTTACAAAAAATCAGCACACGGAAACCACATTTCATCTTTTTCCCACACATGTACATAATGAAACATTTCAACTCCCAAGGCTGGGCCTCTTTCTACTGGGAATTCTGCAGGAATGAATCAAATTACAGTATTTCTCCATAATGCTGATTTCATAAAAATTAAATTTCCTAACAGTCAATACATATCTCTCTCAACCTCATACACCAATCACTTACTCTAAATATCTTTGAGAATTATATCAGTTTTAACATTTCACAGAGTACAACTGGACATTTTTTTTTGTCAATGCTAATGTCATTCATTAATTGAAAGCATCGAAGCAGTTTCTCTCTCCTCTACCCCTGAACAGGTAGTGTTACAAACAATCCCATTGCCTCGTATCTGAGACACATACCCTATTCTGATTCAAGAAGTGGCCTCATCATTATCACTATTCAAACAAATAGCTAGATCATGCTCACATTTTGCTGAAAAGTATGCATGTGTGTGTGTGTATATAAATATACATATATAGAGTTTCATATGCGGGGGGGGCTTATACTAAGTACTATTCAAAATATCTATTGGGCCTATTGTGCTCTGCTATTGCAGAACTTTGATATGCCTAGTCAACGTTCAGATATTTATGTGTAATTTATCAGCTTGGGGGGAGCAAGTCACTTTCAAGGCAAGTTCATTCATATGGATCCAGGGCCTCTCCTTCTGACAATATGGTAGTATGGACCATTTGATCCCTAAATACATGGGACAGGACTTCTTCTAAATCCTCTAGCAGATTGCAAGGCACCTTTTATCCCCATGTGCCCAATAACTGTCCCTTTTGTCATAGAGTTTCTAAAATTGATCACTCTTGCTAATAAATGAATTTATTACCTAAGAAAAAAGATAATATAAACAATAGTTTACCTAAGATAAATTATTAAATGTATAAGAAATTTAGATGTTAAGTCCAGAGCACGAGTGTCACAAAGAATTCACTTGTCCCAACACTGACTTAATCAATTAACAGAAAACTCTACTTAAAAAATTCCTTCAAAAGCATACTTTAAAATTAATTATTCCTTAGAAAAATAAAATTAAACATAAGAAGTAACTTCTGTATTCTCTTTTGAATAAAGGAAATGGCAACCCATTCCAGTACTCTTGCCTGGAAAATCCCATGGATGGAGGAGCCTGGTAGGCTACAGTCCATGGGGTCGCACAGAGTCAGATATGACTGAGCGACTTCACTCAACTTCACTTTGAATCAAGTAAGAGTAATCACTTATATACAGAATGATACTTTTGGTGTATGTCCTTGTTACGTGTATTTTAAACTCTTCTATTGAGCTTTAGCTACACAATATTTGATTTCGCTTTACCACTATGTCTTACTTAAGCAGTGATTAACAGAGACAAGGCAATGAAGCTGAGAAGTTTCTGGTCTAAGCAGGTAGTGGTTTTCACCCTGAGGGGTTATAAGGCCATGATCCATTTCTGCCTTAGGAAAAAGAAAGAAGGAAGAAAAAAAGACAAGAAGAAAGGAAGGAAGAAAAGAAGAGAGAAAGAAGGAGAAAGAGAGAAACTGTTTTCTGCCCAAATGCACACGTTTCTAATTCTTCAATTTAATCCTTCCCAAGTCCAACACCAATATGGTGATCCAATTCTAATCAATCAAATTCTGCATTTAAATCCAGCAGTCCCACTGACCTTATTTAAGATGCTGGATTTGACTTTTTATGCTAATTTAAACTTAGTAAAAATTTTTTAATTAAGGGAGGCAATTAATCCCAGCAAATCGTATTTCCAGTTAAATGTCATATAATTAAAGTAATTCCATTTTTTGCTCTAAAATTAGAAACCTGATGTGAAAGTTTGTTTCTCAGTTTGCGGTTTCGCTCGGCTCCTGCCTCCCGCAGATTGGCACTCGGCTGCTCTGGCGGCAGCATGAATCTCACTGCAAAGCTGAAATTCCAATTTTATTCCAAAGCAACTGTCACAACGCCCTGAAGCAAGCTAAAAACAAGGAAAAAAATCTTTGGTATGATTTCACTTTCCATGTGTTCTTTAATGAAAAATTTATCATTCTAAATATTGGTGTTTACTCCTAGTTAAATACTTTTTTTTATCAAAAAGAAACTGAGATTCAGTTGCTATTATTTCACAGGGAAATATAACAGGCCTGATGTTTTCCTGACAATTCTGTTATTTTCCTGTGTGGAAACACTGTATTTATCATATACTGTACGGCTGGTGATTCAGATATTGTAGAGACCTTATGGTGAACTGATATAGATGTAAACTCTTTATGCCAGATTGTTTAAGCATAAAAAAAACAAATGCACTTAATTAACATCTGATGTGTAGTTTTTACAAACACAAATGCAATATTTGTGTTTGAGCACTGGCAGTAATGACTGTGAACTATGCTATTAATGTCTGGTTTAAAGATGCTTGTGGTAGGACCACGTCTGGAATAACACAAATAAAAAACTGCATTCAGACAAAACAATAGTGAAGAGCCCATTAGAAAAATGGAAAAGCAGCACTCAGAAAAAACACATTTTTTTTTCCCTTTAGATCAAACTTATTCTCAAAAATTGTTCCAGGCACCATCACCTTCAATCAATTAATGGTGAAAAGATTCTCAATATTTTCCTCCAACAGAAGGGGTTTTGTTTTAGGGGGTCAGAAGTTTGCTAAGGGATGTATTTAAAAGTTCTCTTTATTATATTAAGCTCTGCTTTGATGGCTTAGCTTTAAAAGATGCATAAGGAGGGAGCCAAGGTGGTGTTTTAGAGTATTTTGCATTTTTATGTCTGAAGAGAGAACTTCAAATTTATGGATTGCATTACAGATTGAATAAATAAAGAGATTCTCATGAACTAATGTGCGGCTCTCTTATTAAACATGTTTTTACTGAAACCTGCTGAGTGCCAGGAACCATGCAGGTTCCTGGGTGTAAAAACATGAAGGCTACACAAAAGATAAAACCTAGCCTAACTGTGGGCCTTGCTTCAGAGTAACAAACAGAGCAAGACGACAGCCTTGGAACTCAGGTTCAAAAATATAGACAGCTGTTACTACACTGAAAGCAATTAGTCATCATTACATATCGGTATTTTACATTTTTTAGAACATGTATTAAAGAGAAACCACAGCTGAAACAGGACATTTGATGACTAAAGCCATAAAACGCAAACATAATTGCTAAGTCCAATACTCCCATGGCGGGAAGAACGCAGGACTCTTGTGCATGTGGCCAAATCCACAGAAGAGAAAGCTAAGTGATGCCGCGGCACAGGGCTGGGAACGGCTCCCCAGGGGGTTGAGTGCAAGCTCCACTTTTTCAGGGACACTGCCTCTGCTCAGCTGTCTTTCTGCAAAATAGCTATGACATTTTTCCCACTCTGTGAGGAACCGTAAGCCTCAATTTCTCAACTCTGAATCTTTCAGAGTAACAGCGATTCAGAGACGAAATCACAGAGGTAGATACATGTTAACATCATCATGGAATGAAGCCAGCCCAGGTTAAAGCAACCTCAGGTGACTTCCCTGCTCCCAGGTTTTCTATAGAAAAGTGCCTTTCACTAGCTCATGCAGAGACATGGTCCTTCATGTTTTAATTACGGGTGACACATGTCATTACACATTGAGACTTTCATCTTCCATCATCCCAAACAGATTTACAAGCAAACATAGAAAATTACAGATACAGGCTCCTGAAAACAGGACTCATTCTAAGGCTAGAAATTATTTTTCAAAGACTAGGTAAAATTTGGGGTATGCAGTTAATGGCATTATTCAATGTCAAGAAAAGCGCCTGATGCTGCAGTTTCTCATTTACAGAGAGAAAGAAGCAAGCAGAGGCAGCTCTCAGTAACCCACTGAAATAACTAAACAGAAGTCCTTGATCCCAAGATGTGCCAATTACCTCCATCTATGATCCCTATGGCACCATGTGAAACTACAGTTCAAAGAACTGTCCCTCATTTTTAAACAATGATGCATATATGCAGGCCAGTCATACAATATATCAGCCAGCAGTGTTTAAATTATCCCATACATGTTTAGGGTTTTAAAATATATATGCATAAAGTATTTATTTATAGATCTAAAAGTATCAACTATTACTGCTTTGTCCTTATTTATGTTCCTCATGAGCTGGCCAACTACAAACTTTTAAAAGGAATTTGGTTTAAAAGATTTTGTGTGTTTGGCACTGACTCTGGGTGTTAATCATTTCTGAGCTCACTTTTTTCTCTTCTGTTTATAATATTCTCAAGGAACTTCAAAACAGAAACCTGTTCCCTTATAGATTCTGCTTCCTTTTGGGTACTGTATAGATTAATTTGTCACTGGAAAGTTAACTGTAAGTGTTCAGTTCATAGCACCAATCATTTCTATTTAAATTTTTTAGGAAAAGAAATAAACATAGAAACAATGTGTTGAAGCTTTTCTGTTTTGATGGGAGGAGCGGAAAATTATGTTGAGAAATACTGATTAAATAAAGAATGTTAGAAAAATATATAAAGCCATTAAATTTAAAAATGAGGGAAATTGCCATGGTTGGGAACTAAGCTTGTTGAAAAATTAGATGAATAATATTTTAACCCTAGTGACAGAGGTGCTAGAAATTCTACTGCAATAGATATTACTTTTAAAAATGAAACCATTTTACTCCTTCTTACATAAGAGTTTCTTAACAGATAATTTGGGCAAGTAAGGTAACCTAAGATTTCAGTTGATCATTGACTTAAATTCGAATTACAATCTTGTTCATGAAACCATTTATCTATACTATATCTATGTTCCTCTCTGAAACATTTTAATGTTCTATTAGAATCTGCTTTGAGCCTATTAAATGAGTCCCTCAAGGAGTAACGGTCTACCTAAACTTGGCAACTTATAATTTTCATGTCTTTTGCACAAACTAAAGAGCCTACCACTTGAAAGGAGATATTAGCAAAAAAGACATATGGGGGAAAACTTGTGCTGCTTTTCCTTTCTTATTTGACTCTTTTGTCAGCAATATGAATATGAATGCACTGCAATCCGGCTTCTACAGACATGATAAACCTCAATAATTGCCCTTTATGAAAGATGATGGCAATAATAACAAGTTCAATTTAGAGAAATACTGAAAATAAGTTGGAAGCTTTAAGAATTTCCTTTCCTTACAAACATATAAGATAAATAAAATAAATAGGTGCATATATATTTTACAATACTGAAATCACTATACTGCTTTATATCCTTTGGCCTTGACCCTGGATGCTCCTTCCGCATGAGTCTCCTGTCCACATTTCCACATGGCCAACTGCCTCTCTCTTAGTCTTTACTCCAACACTTCCTTCACAACGAGGCCTACTTCGTTTATCCCATCTGACAACCATGGCTTACTCCCATTCCAGGCACATGATGTCCATTGTCCTGTCTGATTTTTTCTTTTTCTTGGCTGTAGCATATATTTTCTAGGTGCTTCCCCCATGGTTCAGCAGAAAAGAATCCACCTGCCAATGCAGGAGACCTGGGTTCGATCCCTGGGTTGGGAAGAGCCCCTGGAGAAGGAAACAGCAAAACCCTCCAGTATTCTTGCCTGGAAAATCCCATAGACAGAGGAACCTTGTGGGCTTATAGTCCATGGGGTCACAAAAGAGCACAATATGACTTAGTGATTGAACAACAACACTTATTATCTAACATATCATATAATTAATTATTTATTAAGCTTGTAACTTATTGTTTCTCTTTTTGCTCTCTTCACCCCTTCCCCACTGGAATATAAATTCTTTGAAGGCAAATAAATTCTATTTTTCCCATTGATAGTAGTGCCTGGCACATTTAGGTACTTAATAAATATTTGTTGTGTTAATTAATAAACTAAAAATTCTCTCTACATTGTATTTTCTACTGTATTTTCCACTTGTCTAAAAATTCCTCCAAACCTTCACACTTAATTGCTTGCATAATGGTCTCTTGCCAAGGTATTCCATAGTTTATTTAATCACTCTCAAATTCTGAACATTTACATTATTTCCAGTATTTATTATTATAAATAGCTCTTTGATAAACATACTGGTACATAAGTACATGTACCTTTTATTGCTTCCTCAGGAATAAATCTATTTACTTAAGATAAATCTAGAACTAGAATTTCTGCAAAGCAGTTACATATATTTTTAGAGCTTTTGATACACATCCCCAACTCACTTCCAAGAAGTTTATACCAACTGATGCTACCATTAGTTGCATGAGTGCCTCTAACTACATCTTTACCAGTGCAAATATTACCTTTAAAATACCATCTTTTAAACATATCTGTGTCAATCTTGGCATTTTAAAGTAAACTTAGGATTTTCAGATGTTGATGAAATTCTCCATGTAAATCACAAATCTCCATGTGGAGTAAAAAATAGAGAAGGAATCAAAATTCCCAATAGGTTGTACATTCCAAACAAACAATGTAAAACAGGTGAGATTATCAGAAAATCATTAGGTGAGATGGGGGAGCACTGTTCACTTTGGTTTAAATGATCACAAACTGAGTCTGCTCTTAGAAGACTGAAGATGATTCGTGATACCACGAACATTCAGGTTTTAACTCGGATATGCTTTTCAGAGCAGGTTAAAGTTCCTCCCAAACACCAACCCATTCAGCCCCACCACACAGCAGAAATGAGAGTTAAGTTTTCCCAGGGACTGTCTAACCCAACACTAAATCCAGTTCTGTTCTCCAGTACTAGGATTCCTGCTTCTAATTCCCGTCCTCTAACTGTAATTTCAGTCACCCGGCACTGTGCTGACTAGGTTTGTGTAATAATCCTTTCGGTCTTCAGCGAGGCTCAAATTAGAAACCAGGAAATAGCTTTCTGAAAACTTAGTCACAAACTTACACTTCTCCATTTGTGAGACAAATCGTGGGAAAATATGTGAGGGTCAAGTTGGCAGGGTTCAAATCAGATTCTTCCTTTTTTTCCACAAGTAAAGACTAGAACACACTTATAATCACTTTTTAAATAAATCTTTTCTCTAAACGGAAGGAAAAAATGGTCCCTTGGTACCACATTTGGCACTTAATAGCCATCATTTAAACTTTACAGTCTCATGAGGGAAAAATAATTAATATGGCCATTTTAAAGATATGGGAACTGAGGCTTATTGAGCTAAGGAACATTCTAAAGTCACATGGCCAATGAAGAGCAAGGTCAGGATTTGAGCATAGCCTCAAAGTCTGCACTCTGAGCTTTTCTGGTGGCTGAGATGGTAAAGATCAGCCTGTAATGCAGGAGACCCAGGTTCGATCTCTGAGTCAGGAAGATCCCCTAGACAAGGAAATGGCAATCCACTCTAGTATTCTTGCCTGGAGAATTCCATAGACAGAGGAGCCTGCTGTGCTGCAGTCCACGGGGTGGTCACAAAGAGTGGGACACAGCTGAGCGACTTTCACTGTCAAAGCCCGTACTCTTTTCACTGCACTGCCCTAGCGGATGTTAGATGTCATTGGTTTGAGAGCAGAATTCTGCACCAGGGATTAGTAACCAAAAGCCTATGTGTAACTGTGCCTTGAGGAAATGTGTTTCTTAAGGTTGCCCACCTCTTGCTTCTTGGGACCTAGCATTTTAGTAACAGCTAAAATATTAACTACCAAAATGTGACCTAACATGGTTTAACTAGTGATCCCTACAGAAGATATTAGAGGATAAAAGAATCAAGACTCAAATAAATGGACCTGGGATGGTGAAATGCAGCAAATGGAGATGGAGTTTTTGAGAGGGTGCCACTGCCTTTGCTGAAGATACGCTCTAAGCCAGGAGTGGGCAGGAGGAGCAGAGAGAGACAAGAGCGGATGAGATCCAGGGCAAGGGAGAATACCGCTCCCTGGGTTTGTTCTCACTGTTCTAGAGCCCGCAGTGCAGAAAATCCTCTCTCCAGGGTGCCTCCACCACCGTCAGGTGTAAGCATCAGCCTGGACACTCTGGATGTTTAAGTACTGAAAGCCCTTCCCACCAGCTAAAAGGAAGCTACACCTACATCCTGGGCTGCCATGTGTCTCCAGATGCAACCTCATGCCTGGCCAACAGGACCCATCATCCCAGTGACAACCATTCTCCTCATCAGTGCAGCCACTGATGAGCAGGGCTCACCATCTATCTTGAACAGCCCTCTTCGGGGCTCCTATCGAGTATCTGATGAGGGCTTCCAGCTTCCCCGCGTGGCTCATGAAGGCGCAAGTAGAAACAGCTGAGAGGAGACCTTCAAGCAAGTCAAGAAAGTTCCAGCTGTAACCTTCCTGCATTATGTGGGAGAGACCAAACGAAGGCAACCTCAGGATGCTCAAGTTTAAAAACCAAAGCAGAAAAAAAATCCAGACTGCGAACCTGTCAAACCACATCTTCTGGCAGGTGCAGCTCCCAGGTCAGGTTTAAGAGCGCTGAAATCCCTTCTTGTGAACCAGCCCAGCTGCTTCCTTCTCTGGACAAGGGGGCGCTTCTCGGGCAGGTCAGCCTCACCAAAGAGAAACACACTGCAGCCAGGAATACTCAGGACCAGATTCTCAGCGAGGCCTACGGGCAGCGGGAAATTTTAACAAGACTAAATTAAAATCAGTCCTGGTGACAGAAAACAAAGCACAGAATTTCCTTATCGTGGTAAAATACACTTAACACAAAATTTACCATTTTAACCATTTCTAGGTGTACAGTTTAGTCACATTAAGTGGATTCCCATCACTGTTATAATCATCACCACTAAAGGATATATAATTTACACAAATTTTAAAACTCAAAGTTTGAGCATAATTAACTTTTCCTTGGTTAGTCTCGTAATAAAAATTTATGTACAAGGTTTTCCTGGTGGCTCAGATGGTAAAGAATCTGCCTGTGATGCAGGAGACCTGGGTTCAATACCTGGGTCAGGAAGATCCCCTAAAAAAGAGCAAAGGAAGATCACCTAGAGAAGGAAATGGCAACCCTCTCCAGTATCTTGCCTGGAGAATTTCAAGGACAGAGGGACCTGGTGTGCTACAGTCCATGGGGTCACAAAGAGTGGAACACCACTGAGAAACACTTTACACTTTAAAGGAGGCTAGAATTTCTAAGCCATTACAAATCTAAGCCATTACAAATCTAATTCCATAAGGAAAATTTATCACCAAGATGAAGGAAATCAGTACCTTCAATTTTTGAACAATTTTATAACAGCTCCAAAATGTGTATACGGTTAGAAGAAAGAAAAATTTAAGAATACAAGGGTCAGATCTGCACTGTCCAATACGGCAACTCCTAGCTACATGTGCCATTAAATTTTAATTTTAATTAATTAAAACGCAGTAAGTTTTTTTCAGTTGCGGTAGCCACATTTCAAGCGCTCAGTAACCAAACATGGCTCCCTACTGAACAGCATATATACAGAACATTGTCATCATCACAGCAAGTCCTTCTAGATAGCAGCCCTGGGACAGATATTCTGTAAAAAGCCTAGTATCTAAATACAATTTCATGGAGGCTACTCTGAATATCAATGCTTTTTCACCTTCTTCTTCCACTTTTATATCTAGATTCTGTCTCTAACCTTATCTTCTCAAGACAGATTACAGAACTGCTTTCCTGTTTTTTTCTAGAGAACTGCTTCAGGGAACTGCTGTTTTCGTGTCACTAAGTATAGTACCCGGTAAGCAACGATAGAGATAACATAATTTATTTTCCTGATGTTTTATTTTAGGTTTTTATTGTAAGTATTTAGGGAGTTTGGGTGCTGGCCTGGGACGGCAAGAGTGTGGGCCTCCTTGATTTAGAGGTGCATCACGGGACATCCAAGGCTGAGATGGAGCCTTTAGCCACAACAAGCATAGGAAACCTCAAACTGCAATTCTGAAGTCTGGTATTTGTTTCTTTATAATGTAGACTGCCACGTTGATTGGGAGGCATGAAATGTGGAGGACATTAAAAAAAGATTTTGTACCTCTGCATCATACAAAATCAAGGGAAATGTTCTTTCTCTGAGTCAGGTAGAAACACCAGCATTAGAAATCCCATGATGTTGTTGACACCACAAAGCCAAGAAAATCTCCCAAATTTCCTAAGTGATCTCTGCTTCTTTAACACTACTTTAAGATACTAATGGACCACAGGTTTCGGGGGGGTGGTTGGGGCCAGATGCCAGGGACACAAACAGTCAACAGAGCCTTAGGAATTGCAGGATAATCTTTAGGCAGTTACCTAAATACTCCCCTCAAATCTGGAATGGCAGAGAGCTAGGGTGGCAGAAGAAAGGGAAAGTGGTTTAGAAGAGTTAGTTAAGACATCTTAACATCTGACGACTCTCCAAATTGTTCCCATCACTGATGTTCGGTCCAACCGTAACTCAAGAGTGACTCACACTTTGGCTGTTGCAGGAGCCTAAAGCACAAACTATGATGGGAAGGCCTCTCCTAAGTAGAGACAATGTGACCTGTCTCCTGGCTTGGCCCAGTTCCTGACCTAGACAGGCCAGCGCCTCCATTTGGAGCCACAGCTCTGGAGTATAGCATAAGCGTACAAAGCCCGCAGTGATCTAAAGAAGGAGCCTTGAAGCTGGTTCCTGAAGACCAGAGCAAGGGACAAAGACAGCTGCAATAGCAGTTGACAGGATTGAGGGCAGGGTACACAGTAGAAATAGCACAAGCTTTTGAGGCCAGAAGATACTGGTTTGAATACCATTTCTATTCCTTAATAGCTGTTTGAAATCTTGAGCAATTTTCTTTCTTTCTTCTTCTTTTTTTTTTTTTTTTTGCCATCTCTGAGCTTCAAGTTCTCTATCTATAAGATGAAAAAATTTTTAAAAAAAATCTTCCTTTAAAGCATCAAATCCTTATCTAGAAATCTGGTGATTAAAAGGAACAAAAATAAAAATTTACCTTCCCTTTCCTATATAAACTGTATTTCAGGGTAGCCAGATAGCCTGAACTGATGAGGGAAAGATTTTTTAACTGAGAAAAAAACTCTTAACTAATAAATGTGGAAGAAAGTATTCAGTTCAGTTCAGTTCAGTCACTCAGTCATGTCCGACTCTTTGCGACCCCATGAATCGCAGCACGCCAGGCCTCCCTGTCCATCACCAACTCCCAGAGTTTATTCAAACTCATGCCCATCGAGTCAGTGATGCCATTCAGCCATCTCATCCTCTGTCGTCCCCTTCTCCTCCTGCCCCCAATCCCTCCCAGCATCAGGGAAGAAAGTATTAGAAGATCACTATTTTGGATCTACTAAGAAAATAACTGTTTCAGGGCAAAGATCATCAATGGATGAAACCTTCCTGAAAAGTCAATTACGAACAAAGTTCATCTTTACATCACCAGATGTGAGATAATCAGACACTATGGCTTCCTCATAGGATACACATAAAACTCACCGCCTACCTATGAAGAACTTCTGCCAAAAAACAAAAACAAAAAACCCTTCAAGCCAATCAAACCTCTGGGGCTAACCTAAAGTTTGTAGGAAGAGAGGGATAAAGATACAAATTACATTTTTACACCACCAGGGAGCAAACAGATCCAGAATGTGGGAAGTCCATAGGACAACTGAGCCAGTTTCTGCAACCAGTGAATCAGAAGGAAAAAGGTGGGGGGAGGGGGCTGGTGGTGGCACGTGTGGGGAACTGGATTATATCAAAAGAGACAGGGATACAACAATCACCTCTATGTGTGAATCACATATAGATGCAGATTCAGACAAGCCAATCACAGAAAGACGTTTGCTTGGATTACATACTGGATATTAGATGGTACCCAAAAAATGATCATTTTGATGGATACTGGCATTGTGGTGATATAAAAATATGTCCACATTGCTTAGATATTTTAAATAAGCCAGGGTAAAAGAATAGGACTTCTGAAACCTGCTTTAAAAAATCTTTAATAAAACTAAAAGATAAAAGAGGGAGATAAAGAAAGAGGAAAGGAAAAAAAATAAAGGAAGTAAAGAAACAAGACAGAAAAGAAGCTATCCCACAGAATGGATATCGAGATTAAGATTAGATAAACGAAGAAAAGCATGGACTGAAGACAATGCTGGGTGCACAGTATCCAGCACACATTGCCTCCCTTCCCCTCTGCAAGCCTACCCCACTGTTCTGAATTCTGGAAATTCCAAATACCTTCCCGGGTTGGTATGTCCCTACTTACTCGAAATTTCCACATATTTAAACAACACTCCTCTACCATTATCTCTTCTCCAGCAATTCATGATGGAAAGAATCAAACTTAATTTTTATTCTTAACCCACTCCAGTATTCTTGCTTGGAAAATCCCATGCGCAGAGGAGCCTGCTGGGCTGCAGTCCATGGGGTCGCACAGAGTCGGACACGACTGAAGCGACTTAGCAGCAGCAGCAATGAAATTTTATTCTTATAAATTCTTACTTTGTATTCTTATGATTCTAATAATGAATAAGACATTTCATTATTCTCATGCAATGAAAGACAACCAAGGCCAAAATAACATTTAGCATTAGAGATAATACACTATACTCTTCATACCCAAGGAAGTAACGTTTATGTTTCCAATGACTGTAACCCAAAGGCCCATGGAAGGTTAAGTATTTGTAATGTCGTTGAAGAGTAAATTAGATTGCCTGAATTTCAGAGAAATGTCTCAAATTTGTCTCAAATGTCTCAAAGAAGAATACTTGCTAGCAAGGTATTTTACTTATTATACGAACTGCATTTTAAAAAGGGGTTTTAATTTTATATTTTATTTTCACAATTAATCTATGTAAAAATTATCTCCTGTACTATAATTACAAACGCTCACATCATGCAAACAAACAGGCCTGGTAAAGAAGATAAAACCATTGAATCTGAAAGCTCAAGTCTCACAGTTTTTAGGTAAGTGGCATTGTTTAAAGGAATAGTTCTGTGTGTGTGTTTCCTGTAAATCGGGTGTTCCCCCAACAGTGGAATCAGGCGTTTCCAGAGCAGGGACTTTCCACATTTTCCACGAACCCCAAGAAACCAGAACTTCTGAGCGTCTCCCCACTCTGCCGTTGCACTCCCCTGTCCTCCCCTGTCTGGACTCCCCCCTCCTTTGTCATTGCACTCCCCCATCCTCCAGATTGCATTTCTCCCTCTCGTGTTCATACAGTGCGCTTCCTGGTTGCTCAGACAGTTAAAAAAAAAAAATCCGTCTGCAGTGCAGGAGACCTGGGTTTGATCCTTGGGTCCTGAAGATCCCCTGGAGAAGGAAATGGCTACCCACTCCCGTATTCTTGCCTGGAGAATACATGTAGTACAGCTTTTATTGATAGAACATCAAATCTAATCTACTTGTATTATACAGTTAATCGTGGACTTTTTTCCTCTATCTAGGTTTCAAACTCCCTAAACAATCAACATTTGTTAAGTTGAATGAATTGAATTTGGTTCCTAAGCACTTTGCAGATGCTGGATGCTGCAAACCTGAAAGAGCAGCATCCATCCCAAACCTACACATGCGAGTAAGGGGTCGCCATGCTAACAAAACGAGAACAGGGATTAAGACCAGCAGGCACACGATGCATCCCTAGTGAGAAGCCATGGGATCAGTTTT